TTCCCCTCCCCACAACAGACACCCTGTGAGGTGGGTGGGGCTGAGAGAACTCGGACAGGTGGGCAACCATCATCCCCAAAACTTCAGGGGTGGGACAGGAAGTGGAAATGATGTCAGGCTATGCGTAACTGCCACATCTGTGCAAAACCCCAGACATGATGTCAGAGCTTCGATGGGTGCTCTAGAAACTCCATGGTATTACGACAGCGTTTCTAGAGCATCGGCTGACGTCATTCCAGACCATATTTCGCAATGCCATCTCCACCCTTCACTGCTTCTCCTGTCCGTCTGAAAGGCAAAGGTGGGTGGGAGAGCCCCTCCCTGGGAGACTGCCCCCCCAAAAAAGTGGGCACTTCACAAACCTAGTTACAGGGCACAGTGTGCCCTGCGATATTCTTAAACATTCCAGTCACGCTGATCCAGAAATTCTTATTTTTTTAAAAAAAACACCCAGGCCACCAATAAATAAAACACGCACCAATGATGGTCATTTATTAAATGGTTGTAAATTCAACAAGGTCCTGATTTCTTGGGACACAAGACAGCAGAGTTAGGGAGATTCTGGAACTGGTCTTGTGTTCAAAACAGCGAGGGCGACGCCAGCAGAAGAACACACACGGAGAGAGATTATCGGCGTGCTTTTGGAGAGGGACATGGGAGATGGGGTTGTCTAAACTTTCCCACCACTTGACATAAAAGGCTCAGAGCTCAACAGCTGCTCTGCCATACAAAAGGTGGCCGGCTTTTCAGGACAGGGAACAATCAGGCGTGTGCGCGCGGGGGAGGTGGGGCGGGAAGAGGAGCAGCAAGAGAGAGACCGGGCACCCTCTGTCTCACCTGATCTTGAGGGAGATTATAAAACACACACGCGCACGCACGCGCACACAACCCATACACCCAAATTGGGCAGTGGAGCTCCCAAAGGAGACTGCAAGCAGTCTGGTTTAGTGGGTAGATAGCTGGAGCTTGGTCCGAGTCATTTCAGCCATGAAATGGCTGAGTGACCATGGGCCGGTTGCTCTCACACAGCCTGTCCTTCCTCACAGGGTCGTTGTGAAGGTAAAAATGACTGAATATTTATGCTCTTAAGAAAGGCACATAAAGCGATGCAGAGCTCTGAAGGTTCAAATTGCTTTCAAACGCCCACAGTGTTTCGACATGCATTATCTTGTTCTAAATCCTTACGGCAACCCTGTAAGGTTGGTATTATTGTCTCCATATTACTGACTGGGGGGGCTGTGAAATGGTGGCTTACCGAAGGCCACATAGTTTATTGCTAGATGTGATCTGAATCAGCAGCCTTCTAAGTATTACGGCCCTGTAAGGAAGATCTGCACCCTCATCCCTTTGGTACCAGGTGAGATACACAGAGGGTGCGGTCAGACGGCGTGCTGAGCATGGGTTAAACTGCTCTAGTTCTAACCGGATTATATTTGATCATCTGGATAATCGTGATCACACTTACCTCCCTTATCCCGGTTTTTTTCCTGCCGTGTGGCAGGGACCTAAGCGATGCAGAGCTCTGAAGGATCAAATTGCTTTCAAACACCCACAGTGTTTCGACATGCATTATCTTGTTCTAAATCCTTACGACAACCCTGTAAGGTTGGTATTATTGTCTCCATATTACTGACTGGGGGGGCTGTGAAATGGTGGCTTACCGAAGGCCACATAGTTTATTGCTAGATGTGATCTGAATCAGCAGCCTTCTAAGTATTACGGCCCTGTAAGGAAGATCTGCACCCTCATCCCCCTGGTATCAGGTGAGACACACAGAGGGTGAGGTCAGATGGCGTGCTGAGCGTGGGTTAAACTGCTCTGGTTCTAACCGGATTATATTTGATCTGGATAATTGTGATCACACTTACCTCCCTTATCCCACCTCACTGTGCAGTAACGTCGCTGCGTGGGAGCATGTGTCAGTGGGTTTTTAATTTTTTTCCTCAGTTTGCGCATAGGCGCTCATCCGTAGAATGGGGGAGCGAAACTACCATGGCGCATGCGCAGAACCACCAGGGCGAATCAATCCAACCCCTCCAACAAAAGACTTCCCTTTAAACGTTTGACCCGAAAATGGCTTCCTTGAGATCCTGAACTCATCTAAACTCTAAAACAAGTGACCGTTTAAATGTCGGCTTTCTAAACACGGTAGCGGAGTTCCGCCCATGTGCGCACCGCTGACGCTAAAAAAAAAAAGGTGGGCGAAAAGCGGAAGCCTCGGGCAGCTTTCGAGTGGGGAGGGGGTTTAAACCGGAAGTGGCTTGACACTGGAGGAGTGATCACACAGGGGGAAAATGTGGCTTTAAATGGGAGAGCTGAGAAAACACCACTTTGGGACCCGGCAACAAAATACTCCGGGTTAAAGCGGTTTTGATCCGGAAACCAATGGCTGGGGACGGGAGGCAGATGTTGACTGTGTGATCGTGCATATAAAATCCGTTGCTGAGCTGTCACGGCACCAGATCAAACCCAGAGAGCAGCTTGCCAAAGGCTACCTAATGAGTCCGTTGCAGAAACAAAAACCTGGAACTTGTGAATTCCTGGGATGATGAGACCACCTCCTGAGGGACTGGCTACAGCTATTCAATCACATGAATATTCTCTGGACATAGTTTTGGGCGCTTTCACACACACTAAATAATTCACTTTTGATACGCTTTGCGACCGGATTTTACTGTGTGAAATGGCAAAATCGACTTGCAAATGAACGGTCGCTGAAGTGGATTGAAACTGTGTTATTTAGCATGTGTTGAAGTGCCCCTGCATAGGCTCTTTCACAGGACTCTGAGAAGTCTTTAGCCTCTGCATTTTGTGGGGGACTAGTTCTCATTGAGGTGCTCCGTCAGTACCTTGGCTGCCGCACTTCATACGATGAGCGAGGCCCCACCTGACTGAATCACTCCTCAATGCAGAAAACTCCCTTCTGCGTCCTCTGCCAAGAAGAAAGGTTTTAGCCCAGCTAACTGCCTGACAAACTAGCTTTCTTCATGCAGAGAACTTTCAGGGAGAAACATTGCTTTATCGGCCTTACCTGTAGTGGAACAGTCTAGATATAGAATGGCCGTTTCAGTAATAAGAACTGGGCCTTTCTTGGTGGGACATGAGAGGATGCATTTCTGGCCTGACCTGGATAACCCAGACAAGCCCGATCTGGTCAGATCTCGGAAGCTAAGCAGGGCCGATCCTAGCAAGTACTTGGAAGGGAGACCTCCGAGGAATACCAGGGCTGGGACACAGAGGCAGGCAATAGTAAGCCACTTCTCTGAAACATCCAAGCCCCGCTAGGGGTCTCCAGAAGTCAACCATGACTTCCGGGCACACACACAAAAAAAATACTCACCAGGGGGAGAGAGAGAGAGAGAGAGAGAGATTACACATTTTTATCCTGCCCTTTCTTCAAGGAGCTAATGGAGATATACATGGCTCTCCCCTACTCTACTGTATCATTACAACAACCCTGTGAAGTAGGCTAGGGAGAGAGAGAGGGAGGGAGGGAGGGAGGGAGGGAGGGAGGTTTACATTCCCCCTGTGAGCTGTGTACAAGACTGGGTATTTTTGAACCTGAGGTTCCATACTCCTAGCCCCGCCCTCTCACCAGTGTACCACACTGCCTCTCACAGTGCGACTCGTGTCCCCTTCAGGCCAGCGTCCTCCTTGCTGTCGGCTGCCACGTTCCGCCCTCCCCGTGCCCACTGAGGGCTCCCGAGTGCACCGTCTGATCATCTGGAATGTGATTGATCTCTTCTGCGGCCTGAGCCAGGGGAGGGGGGAGAGGAGCGGCCCGTTCCCAGCATCCCCGTGTGTAATCCCCAATTCCAATCTTTCTCGTGCCACACACTCCCCACCTGCTCATCTGGGAGAGGGTCATTATCCAGACCGGCGGCTATTCACTGCCAATCGAGCATGCAAGAATAGCCGCTTCTTCTATTGTGTCTTCAAGGGCCCTTCTGATTGGCTCCCGAGTGTGGGAAAGTCGAGAGAAGCAGAGACCCACAGCTCTTCTCAGCGTGCCCAGGCTGTATAAATGCAGGGCGGGTGGCACAGAGCCTCAGCATATTTCCCTCCGGGTAGCAACCTGAAACAAACTGCTCCACTTTCCCTGCCGGGCAAAAGATGGCACCCACCGGCCTCATGTTCATGCCTCAAAGCGGCCTGCTCACCCCTAAAGAGAAAAACAAAGTAAGTAACTGAACGGGGGACATGCTAGTTTTTGTGAGTGTTATCTCCCCGAGATACTTAAACGGGTAAACGGGTAAAGCAGTCTCTTTCCTTAGGGGGAACAGGAATTGTTTAGTTTTGTGAGGGGAGGCAACTAGCAGCGAACCAGCAGCATGAAACGGCAATACCCGGGATTATTTTTGTGTGCGGTTTGTGTGAGAAGAAGTCGTGCCATTTCTACTGGCAACAGATATTTCTGCCAGTGTTTGTGAGTCACTGTTTAATACCGTTGACTGGAGTGTGCCGGCTGGAGAGCTAGGCAGCGGATGGGTTTTCAGACAAGAGTTTCCTAAACGAGCCGCTCTCTTCTTTGCAGCTGAGGAAACCGGCGGTGGAGAAAATGCGCCGTGACCGCATGAACAGCAGCATCGAACAGCTGAAACTCCTGCTGGAGAAGGAGTTCCAGAGGCACCAGCCGAATTCCAAGCTGGAGAAAGCCGACATCCTTGAGATGACGGTGGACTACCTGAAAGAGCAAAGCTGGCTGCATTGGAAAGGTCAGTAGTCTGTACGATGTCACCTTCTAGCAAGTC